AATTGGTTTTGGTCAGGATTTGAATAAGTCCGTGTACTGCTGTGGGTCACGCAAGCCTCTATATTAGTATGTTTGCCACACGCAGTGAGTGCACTCACCTTGGGAGTCCTATCTGTACACACCCCACCTTAATCTTAAACCCTTTAACCCCACCCGACACACACTATTTTGAGACACTGGTGTGGCCTGTGGGGAGGTTGCTGACAGCAGCCCTGAGGCCTCTTCCCTGCAGTTTCTTACAGACTGGCCCTTAGGCACACTTGCGTTTGGCTGGGTCTTGAGCCTTCTGTAAACCTCTTACAGGGTTGTGTGCACAGGTTGAGGTGCCTGGAGCCCTAAGGAGCTGTGTGCTCACAGGGCCAGCCTTCCCGGGGGAAGAGGTCATCTCAGAGGTGGTGGCAGCAGCAGACTTGGGGCATGATCAGCAGCCTTAGGCTGCTAGCTCTTTCCAGCCCCCCGCCCTTGGGCCTCGCTGGAGACTGCTTCCTAGGAGGGGTGTGAGCACATGGCCCGGCCTCCAGGCCAGCCTCCAGGGCCGTGGCTGGGCTGCATGCTGGTGTTTTTCCGGAACCAGCACCAGTCTGTCCAGTTTGGCTGCATCCTGGCCAGCTGGGGTGAAGAGATGCTGGCTCACAGCCTAAGGCCGGGGAATGGGTGGCTGACCTGGCCTGGTCAGAGAATGGTGAATACAGCAGGTGCCACCACTGCTTAGAGTGGGGTAGGGGCTGGCACCAGAATGCCTGCGTGTGTTGGCCATTGCGCAGGGGCTGCACTCCAGGGAGAGCCTTGTGCTCCTCCTGGAGTTTCTGAGCCAGGGGCCTTCTGAGCCAAAAGGAGGCCCTTTGGCCATTGTCAGCTTGTGGAGACCATGCCCAGATCCCACAGCAGCTGGCTGGGTGCGCCTGGCCTGGTCTAAGCCTTTGCTGCTGGTCCAGCTCTGCCCTCTCCAGGGAGCCTTAGAGTGTGGGACCCCTCTGTAGGTGCACAGGCCTCCTGGCTTCCCCATGCCAGGGCTTGCCCTGCCTCTGCAGTTCCCACGTCTCCATCCATGTGGAGGGTACTAGGAAGCACTGTGCGCAGTAAGGGCCCAGGAAAGGGCCTGCTGTCTTGACTCAGCCCCCCATGGTGGTGGCTGTGGATCCATCTTGCCTGTCCCTGGGTCATGCCGCCTTGGTCAGCAGGACATGTACTATGGCCTGGTGCGTGCTGGGCATGAGTGAGGAGTAGTGAGCAGACTCAGAGTCAGCTCTGTGCCAGCCCCGCCACGAACATGGATCTGTTGGCCTGTTGGTGGCGTGTACAGTCCTTTAAGCCCTTCTCCGATTCTGTTTTTGTTGGTGGCATTAATTTATGATTGATAATCCCCAATCAGTGAGCATTTAAAGTCTTGTTTCTCTGTTTGAATCAGGAGCTGAGCGAGATCCCTATACTGTGATCTTAGGTTTCTGTCTTTAGTTATAGCTCCTCCTCTTCCTTTTTCGGTCCCTTTGTTGAAGAAGCTCTGTCCCTCCTCCTGCAGATGTGTCTGCCTCTGACTGTGCTGCCACCATCCCCATGGCATCCAGTGCCCTCCTCTGAGCCATGTCCCTATCAACACCTCCCAATCCAGGTGCTAGGCTTCCTGGAGAATAAGTTCTCGCTAGTGTCCTTTGTCTGTGACATTGACTGAGTGGGCGTTCCACACCCTGATCATGGACTCTAGGGCCGTGCACCTATTACCCCCTGTGACTCCACTTCCCTGGAGCTGCCTTCAGGTCACCTCCCTGCCCTCTGCGTGTTTACCTGGCTGGGCTTGGTCTCTGAGGGAAGGCAGGACATGTGCTGGGTCCCCACCCGCGCCCTGTCTGAGTTCTGCAGCTGTCCTCATCCTCAACTATGGCCTTGTTGCAGGCCAGTGGGTACAGCTGACAAGACAGAATGGACGTGACACTGTGCTCACATGTTGCTCCTGGGATGGCCCTCCAGGAGCAAGGCCCGGCTCCTTCCCAGGACCAGCTGCGCAGGATGTGTGGGATCCTGTGTGAGACCTTGCAGACTGTGGACTATCCAGGACAGGCAGGCTTCTGCTGGTTACCCTAAATGACCCCTCTTCTGCCCTAGCCTGTCACAGCCTCCTGGGAGCCCCTCATGACACCTTCGCTTTCTGTCCTGGGGTCCCTTGGTTCACAAGGGAAGTGTGGAGCGTGTACCTTCTGGGACAAGTGTCTTGATCAGGGCTGAAGTGTGGAGGGGAAAGAAAGAGCGAGCCAGGTTGGGGTCTGTGATGGTCATAGGCCGCTGTCCGTAGCTGGTGTGTGAGGCTGGGTGCAGAGCCAAGTGGGTGGTTGTGAGGCTTCCCACCACCTCCAGCCTCGAGCCCCCGTGAGCAGGTGTGTGCACAGCCAGAAGCCTTTTCCTTGGGACTTGTGGTTTGGGTAGGAAAGCCCTCCTCGGCCAGTCCTCCTAGCCTGGAGAAACCATGGCCACCTGGGCAGAAGGAGAATCTTCCAGTGTGGTGCAGACCCTATTTGATCCCACCTGGCTCAAGCAAAAGCCATGCTCCTGGGTGTTGCTTCAAGAGGCCCGCTCACCTGTCTGCCCTGGCGGTCCGCAGGCCGTCCCCCAGAGTGCGTGTGCTGGCTAAGCTCTGCCTCGCACATGGCCGTCCCCAGAGCTCACTAAGCGGCATGTTTGCAGTGCCACCCACACACCTGCCACTGGCAGTCAGGCCTGCCTGTTCCCTCTCTGAGTCCCACCAGGACTGAAAGTGCCCTGGCAGGAGCTTTGCCCCCCAGGAAGGGCACGCCAAAGGCCACGGGTGGCAGGCTGTGAGTTGCTCTGTCCACGCCTTCTGCTGTGCAGTGTGTGGCACCTGTGAGCTCCTAGAGTTCTGGGCTCAGAGTTCTCCCCAAGCCTCTGCTCCTGGCCTTCTCTCTCCCAGTGGATCACACCAGGGTAGACAGGACTGTATTCTTATACAATAAAGTGAAACCCTTTTTTTTTTTTTAACTTTTTATGTCCTGGGGATGCCAGGCAGACGTACTGCCCTGTCTCTCACCCTTGAGAGTGTACGAACCCTGTGGTTTTGATGTTCATAATGTAGCATAGCTGTCGGGTTTTGACTTCAGGACATTTCCATCATCCACTGTTCCCAGAAACACCTGGTCCCCATGAACAGCCCCTTTCTGTACCTCTGCCCAGCCTGCAGAGCCCTGAGTCCGCTGTCTGCTTCTGTGGACATTGCCCATGAGCAGGGCCATGTGGCCTATGTCCTTTGGTGTCTGGCTTCCAGATACCACATCCTAGAGCCGGCCATGATGCTGCGTCAGGGCCTTTTCATTCTGGTGGAGAGTGGACTGCAGTGTCCTTCCTGTCTTCTGCCTTGGTCCCGGGCCGTTTTCACTCTGTAACTACTGCGAGTAATCATGCTGTGAACACAGAGTCTTCGAGCACCTCTGACGTCCTCTTGACCTGGGCTGTGTGGTGACTTCCCATGTGGCACTGCAGGACTACTGGACAGTTGTCCCAAGCAGCTGCCCCGAGCTGCTGTCCCCAGCAGGGGTAAGGCTTCTAGGTCCTTGCATAGGTGGGTGTGTCTTAGTTACTTTTCTTGTGACTGAGACAAAATATCCAACACCCAGAGTTAAAGGAAAAATGGTTTCTCAGTGTGCGGTGCCAGCCCCACCCCTGGGGCACACTGAGATGGCTTAAGACTGGGCGTCGTGGCACACCCCTGTAATCCCAGCACTTGGCATGCTCAAAACAGGAGAAGCACTACAAATCTGATCCATGTAGTGAGACCCTGTAGACCCCATCCTAAATACAGAATAAATAAGAAATATTGATTCAGCTCCCATTTGTAGAGGTTTCAGTTCATAGTGGCTCCAAGACAGAGTGGCATGGCAGGGGGTCATTGCAGAGCAGGCAGGCAGAAGGCAGTGAGCAAGCGACAGCCTCCTTTGCGTCCCTGGTGTTCCATCAAGGCTGCCTGCCCTGAGGGGAGCAGCGCTCACACCTGGAGCTGTGCTGGACTGACCAGTGGGCTAGTCGCACACCCTCCACCCAGCTTCGTGCTCTAAACCCAGCACCTCCAGAGAGGCCTGCCTGTGACATGAAGCCTTGGGAAAGCACCGAGACACAAGCCGCACACGCACGCACGCACACACACACCCAAGCGCGTGCACACATGTGTAGATTTTAGCCATCCTAACGGTTATGAACTGAGTTTCTGTGTGCATTTTTACCCTTTTCAAGACCTTGATAAGTTTCTTTACAAAGTTTTCTCTTTTTCTACTTCCATAAATTGAACTTGGGACCTCGTGCTTTCCAGGCAGGGCTGTGCCACTGAGCTAGATCCCAAAGATACATCATTGTGATGCAGTTCAACTTACACAGATTTTCTGCCTCCTGTGCCTTTGGTGTCTCATAGAAGAAAATTTGCCTGACCCCAGGTGACGAGTCCATGGTTTCTTTGGCGAGAAACCACCTTCAGCCCTTCCACTTGGGTCTCTGGTCCATTTTGAGTTATTTGCTGCATGTGGTGTGAGGTGGTGATCTCGTTGCATTCTTTTGCCTGTGACTGTCCAGTTGTCCCAGCAGCATCTGTTGAAGAGACTTGTGTCCTCGCATTCTCTAGGCACCCTGGCCAAACACAAGTCATCTGTAAATGTGGGCAGACTTGGGCCTAGAGCCCACGGCTCATGCTGTCTAGCGGAGGCAGATTGGCGCTTTGTATTGCTTCCAGGACCATGTGTCCTGTAGCCTCAGTTTCCCCACTTGTCCATGGTGCCGAGATCTGAAGGGGAAAGCAGGCACCAGGCTAGTGACAGTGATGCTATTAGTGACTTTTGGTTTCCCTGGGGGCTGCTTTGCCTAGTCGGCTATAGATGACTATTCATTTATTTTGAGTGAGAGAAGGGAAGAGAAGCACTATAGGCCCAGGAAAGAGAGCCAGCGACAGTTGAGGGGCACAGAATGGGCCCACCGTGCTGACACAGACTTCCCTGTTTCCCTTGCTCCAGGAGGAGCCGAGGAAGGTTTGCTTCACCTATGACCTGTTCCTGAACCTGGAGGGCAACCCGCCTGTGAACCACTTGCGCTGTGAGAAGCTCACCTTCAACAACCCTACCATGGAGTTCCGCTACAAGCTGCTCATGGCTGGTGGGGTGAGTGCACCTGTGGGTCCCCCCCCCCCGTCTGCGTTCCCTGGCCTTGGCTGGTGGGGTGGCTTCCAGTGCCTAGTGCTGCCTGTTGCACCATTTCCCCAGCAACCGTGGGTGATTGACATCATCCACACGCGACTGTGCTGCCCGTGTGCCTGGCCAGGGCAGGGCTGCTGCTGGCTCTGTTCGCGGAGGAGCCCTGGTGGTAGGCGCACACTGCCTGCCACATCTGTCCTCAAGAGCCACACAGTGGGAGCCCATGTGGTGCCTTGAGAGGTGCTGTGGACATGGTGCCCGCAAGTGGGCACGGCATGGGGGAGGTGTTGCAGGTTAGGTTGCCCAGCATGCCAGGGGCTTTGGGTGCGTAGGGCATGTGTGGTATGCAGTGCTGCGTGTGCAGTGCTGTGGGAGGTGGGTGGATCGGGGGCTGTTCATACTGGGCAGGGGGCGTGGTGTCTGGAGCGTGTGGGACGTGTGGTGACGAAGTGTGTACTCTGGGGAGTGTGCCCATGGCTGGAACGTGTGGGGTTTGTGTGCTGTGTGGTATGTGTGATAGGGGGCTTTTGTGGAGTACGTGTGTTTCTAGGCACACGTATGAGGCATATGCGAGGGTTGGTGTGTTTATAATGTGTGTGTGAGGTGTACAGAGCATGAAGCGTGTGGTACGTGTGGATTGTATCAGATGTGTGGTGCATACATGTGCTGTGTAATGTGTGTGGCATATGGAAGCGCTAGGGTGTGTGTGAATGTGTGTAAGGTGTGTGAGGTGTGTGCATGCAGGGCACCTCCTCTTAGGTGCAGGTGGCATTGTGTGCTGCTTCAGGCTGGCCTGCCGTGCCTTCCCATCAGTCACACAGCTGGGTCCTGAGAGAGCCAGCACGTCACTGGAGAACGTCTGCAAGGGCCTGAGGCCTGCATGTGCTACCAGAGATCCTGCCTTTGGCTCAGGTTTTGCCACTGGGACTGCTCCTCGCTGCAGCCCTGTTCCCACCTTCTGGCTGTGGCCCTGTGTGCCACAGCATTTACAAGGCATTTGTAGGCGTCCCCAGCGTCATGCTTGTGTGGGAGCCGCTGCCATTCTGGGCGTCTCCCCTGCTCCTGGATGGAGTAAGCGCGGCCTCTAAGGGCATCATGTAAACACGTAAAACTGGGTGGAGAGGCTGGACAGGTCAGTGTGCAGGGCCTGGCCAGAGGTATGTGCTGGGCCCGGTGCCTTGGCCACAACTGCCAGCAGCTGGCTGGCTGTCTGCAGCTCCCAACCATCTTGGGCTGACAGCAGAGCAGCACACTCTAGCCAAGGACCAGCCTGGTCCCTGGATGCAGCTCTCGGGCAGCTCCCAGCGCTGGGTGCCAAGGGACAGCACCATCTGCCCCACCACACGGCACACAGCCTCAGCCCTGCCATCTGGCTGCAGTGCTGCAGGAGCCCAAGCAAGGAGCCGAGCAGTAAGTCCCAGAGCTGTGATCTGTCCCCTGTGCTGGCTGGCTGGAGTCTGCAGCTCAGACAAGAGCAGGTTTCCTGCTGTCCTAGCCAGCCAGAGCCAGCCCCACAGCACCACAGCTGTTTCTTGTCCTCGGCCCTGGGCAAAGGGCCTCGTGGCAGCACCTGCAGGGAACAGGAGACCTGACTGCTCTTCCTTTCCTCCTTGCTCTGAGCACCCTGTTGAAGACAGCCACGGGTCCTGAAGGCTTCTCAGGTCAGGGGACTTGATGGGTAGGATGAGGTCATGTGAGGAGGAAGAGGCCAAGTACGCAGAGGGCGTGGCCAACACTGGGGCCAGAAGACCTCACGTGGCTGAGCTCCTTGTCATTCTCAGGGATGGGGCAGGCGTGGCCTCCGTGGATGCCTCAGAGTCAGCATTGTAGGCAGACAGGCTCTGTCGGCTGTCCACAGCCAGGACAGCCCCAGGCTTGTTGCCCCGTGACCATGACTGTGTGGTGTCAGCAGCCTCAGATGAAAGGGTTGGCTTGGCGACAAAGCCCAGGTACTCATGGTTACTGGGGCTGCAGCTATTTCCAAGTTGGAGTCTTTTTTTTTTTTTTTTTTTATAGTGCCTTTATTTTTTTTGTCCTGTCTCTCTGCCATCTGGAAGGTGTCTGAACAGCTGCCCTGTGCCGTGTTGCTCACAGCATGGGCGTCTGGAGGTCTCCCCCGAGCACTCTCTCCCTACCCAGGCACCTGCTGTGGCCTGGCAGGTGTTTCCTAGAAGGACCCAGCCCTTGCTCATCTGTTGCCTTCCAACAGAGCAGGAGTGGGCCTCTGCCCCTCTGAGGTGCTTAGGCAGGGATGCCAGTGGGCAGCTCCCATTGCAGCTGCTAGTCTTCTGTTCTGGTCTTGGTCCTGGTCCTGTCTTGGCCTCAGCCTTACGCTTGCACTGTGTTCAGGTCAGCTTCAGCTGCCTACAAGTGGAGGGAGGGTGGCCGTGCCTGGCAGCACAGGACCCACCAGAGCCACATTCCTGCAGGCCTTGGAAACTGCTTGCTGTGCCCCATGGCCACCCTTCGGGGTCCAGCCAGCTTCTGCTTTTTCCCAGTGCTGCCCCAGCTCTCTCAGCCTCCCGTGGAGCTCAGCCTGTGGTTTCAGCTGCCTTCTTAAGCTTTCCTGCCTGCACATTGCTCAAGTTTTCTTGGCCCAGTGCTGTTTCTGACGGGCCTGACCAGTCCTGGAGGCCACCTGGCCCTTGGGGCCCCACCATCCTGGGAGCCTGGGCTCCTCCGCATGCTCCTTGTTCAGTGCCTGCTCCCCCAAAGAGAAGATACTTGTGATTCCTTTGGGAAGGTGGATCTCATGCTCCCCTTCTCCCTACTTCAAGAAGCAAGCTCCACAGCCTTGGGCTGCCGCTGCCCCTTGCCCGTCGATAACATCTGTCTCTTCTTTATCACTAGGTCATGGTAATGCCCGAAGGAGCAGAAACGGTGTCCAGGCCCAGTCCCGACTACCCCATGTTACCCACAATTCCACTCTCTGCCTTCTCTGACCCCAAGAAGACCAAACCGTCCCACGGCTCCAAGGTTAGTGAGGTGGAAGGCCCAGTCTCTGGGCGGGTGCGCAGGGCCCAGCTGCAATCCCAGCCGGCACCCCTCTGCCGAGCTGGCCCTGCCGCCCGGCCCTGCTCCCTTGGCATCTCGCTTCTTGAGCCCTCTCCGCCCCACCTTACTGCTCGCTCTCACTTATCCAGGATCGCAGGCATAGGGCGTGTTATTGAGGGCTCCTTGCCTGTTCTCTTGAGGCTGGGCCCACCTGGGCCTCCCTTCCCGCCAGGCCCTTGCTGGCCTTGGACACTCAGCCCCATGCTGCCAGCACTTTCTCTGTGGCTGCAGCTGCCCACCCCACCCCACCCCCAGTCTCCTGCCCCGCTGTTCCCAGCTTTGCCCTGGCAGTGGCTTACCACAGCCTGAAGGTACAGCGTGTGGCCCACGAGGTGGCACACACTTGCCCAGCTGGCGAAGGCGCACCTTACAGCCGTCTCTACCTTGTCGTGCAGGTGACACTCTGCCTCCCAACACTTCTCTTGCTGACCCTCCCAAGGTAGCTACACAACTAGAGAGCTCTGGGGACAGCACTGCGTCTTTCAGCCAGATCCTGTGCCTCTGTGGCCACGCGCTTGGCTCCGTGCTCATGGCTGTCAGAGAGCTGCTGGCCACCCTGCGGCTGACCCCATCTGTTGTCTTCTCATCTCTGCACTCTTCTTGCTCACTTCCTGTGGGGTGTCACGAGCTGGGACACCAGGCCACCTTACTCTTCCCGTGAGCTGTGCTGAGGCTCCTAAGGCCCAGCCGTTCTGGCTCCTTCTGGAAGGCCACAGGTCTTGGAGGTCCTCAAGTGCCTCAGTGTCTTGGAGTGACTGCAGCCCTGGAAGGCCTCATGGTGTTAAAGGACAAGCCAGTCCTTGCCGGGGATCTTGGCATCTTCTCTACACATGCACAGCTCTCTGGAGGCTCACATAAGACAGAAAGGGAGACAGCTGCTACTTCTTCTGACCAGGGCCACGGGCCACCTGAAGCTCTGGGAGGAAGTGCTTCCCCACGTGGCCACGGGGCCGGTGCTCCAGAGGCTGTGCATTTTGCCATTGCTCCCGTCCAGACGCCCGATGGTGTCTGCTGGGTCCAGAGGCTGCAGGTGGCACCCCCAGCCCTGCTATGCCTCTCTGGGACCCTCTGCAGGGTCACTAGGTGTGACCTAGGAGGTGCTGCAGGGGAGCCCCACCGAGATGCTTCTCTGGGGGTGGCTTTCTGGAAAGCTCCAGCCTCACCACCACAGCCACCACGTGTGCACTGTGGGCCTGTCTGTGCCATCCCACGGGCCCAAGCCTGTGAGCCCCTCCCTCTTTCTTGGGCCCTGGCTTTTCGCTTCCATGTTGGTCTTTTGCTGTTCCGGCCTAGGCAGTGCGGCTGGTCGTCGTGTGCTTGGCAGAGTAGTGTCTGATACAGGTCTGTAGGCCAGGCTGCCAAGGCAGAGTCTGGCTTTTGCGCGTTCATGGTCCATGTCTGGTGGGTCTGCTGACTTGAGGTAGTGGCAGGGAGGAGTGAACCCTCAGGTGCCGACAGACAGCCCTGATGGCCGTGCTTGGACAGTCCAGCCTTGGGCCTGCTCCCCTAAAGCTGCTGGGCCTCTATCAGAGGTTGGCTTTTTCCTATAACTTGGTTCCACCATTTTGTAGCCGTGGGTGGCTTTGAGGACAGGACTCACGACCCTCACCTGTGTCTTCCACAAGAATTTCAGAGAGCCAGAGGGAGCCTGCACACACCCCTGCAGAGGCACTCAGAGCTGCTGTGTGGCGAGTGGTGTGCCCTTGGGGCTTTCTCCCCATCTGTCCTTCGTGGCTGTGACATGGGGTCACACATGGCCTCCTCTGCTTCTTGCCTCCCTCACAATTCACAGGGAGTAGAGCCACCTTTCAGGTGGGCCCGTAGGGGTCTCCTTCAGGCCTGAGCCATGGCCTGGCCAACTATAGTGTCTCAGAACATGCACTGCCATGCACACCTCTCTGGGGACTTCTTCCCTAATTCACTATGCCAGGAGCTGTGAATTTCCAAGCTGCTGGCAAACTACACAGATGAAAGATGTGAAGGTGGCTGCATGGATCCTTCAGGTGGCTCTTAAAGCAGGTACCACAGGTCCTTCCTGCTGCCAGGCATTGATCTGGCCATTCTGTCCACTGGGTGTGTCGTCTCTGTCCACTGTGACACTCCTAGCTGGCTCACAGGAGCCTGCCCAGTGCTGTTGGTCTCTGTACCTTCAGAGCGCCAGGCTGCTGGGCAACTGTGACAGTGCTATGTGGTCCCCTGGGGCGCACAGGGTGACACTAGGAAGACAGTGCTCCTATCTCAGCACTGGCTGTGTGTTGAGAGCTGCTGAGGGGACAGAGCTAGGGTCGGGCTGATTGGTGCTGCTGCTCCTCCCTGCGTGCCCCCCACTTGCATCTGCCAAGCCATTCCTCAGCCCTAGAGGTAGGTGTTCTCTCGCCCCTTCGGTAGCGAAATCACTGGTGGAGGGGCCAGTATCACAGGCCTCACTGCTGTGCCATGTCCAGGCTCCACCCTCTGCATGACTGGGAGCAGCCTCGTGCGGGCTCTGTTCTCAAGGCTTCGCAGCTGTGTGTCTGTGCAGTCCCTGCACCCCAGCAGGCACTCGGGAGACACTCGCTGCCTGGGCCTGGAACCAGGGAACCTGCAGGAGAAGGACTGAGGGGGCTAGGGAAGAGGCCTCCAGGGCCAGGTGGGCTTCCCAGCTCCTGGGCTGCGGGCATAGTGGCCAGTGGCTGCAAGGCCCTCCTTGTGTCTGATTCACTGTGCTCTCGACTCTCAGGATCTGAGCCTGCAGCTGCTGGGGCCTGCTGAGCCCCTGTGGTATGGAGGGTCAAGCCACTTGGCGCTCTCACCTGCCTTCCCTCCTCGCTTCCAGATGGTTTTCTCTAGCTGAGTCTTTCAGGTGGCTCTCATTTGACTGAGGCCGGAGGGTGGCGGAGTTGGGCAGCTTGTGGTGCCAGCTGACGGCATCTCCCCCGGCCCCCTGCTCTTGGCATCTGTTTCAGGACGCCAATAAGGAGAGCAGCAAGGCCTCCAAGCCGCACAAGGTGACCAAGGAGCACCGCGAGCGGCCCCGCAAGGACTCGGAGAGCAAGGGCTCCTCCAAGGAGCTGGAGCGGGAGCAGGCCAAGAGCTCCAAGGACGCCGTGCGCAAGCTGGGCGAGGGCCGGCTGCCCAAGGAGGAGAAGGCCCCACCGCCCAAGGCTGCGTTCAAGGAGCCCAAGATGGCCCTGAAGGAGACCAAGCTGGAGGGCATGTCCCCAAAGGGGGCTCCCCAGCCTTCAGCCCTGCCCAAGGCTTCCAGCAAGCGGCCAGCTGCCGCGGACTCGCCAAAGCCCAGCGCCAAAAAGCAGAAGAAGAGCAGCTCAAAGGGGTCCCGGAGCGCTCCCAGCACTTCACCCCGCACCTCGTCTTCCTCCTTTCCGGACAAGAAGCCGGCCAAAGACAAAAGCGGCCCTCGAGTGGAGAAGGTGAAAGCAGAGAGCGAGTCCAGGGAGGCCCGGAAGGCCCTGGAAGTGGAGGGCTCCAACTCGGAGGACGAGGCCTCCTTCAAGTCAGAGGTGAGAGCACCATCCGCCCTGCTCATCCCTGACTGGGGCAGACTCAGATACAGGATGAAGCCTAGGGCGTAGGCCTGCTTGGTGGCAGTGTCTGCTGTCACTGGCCAGATCATACTTCACTGAGCCCCCATTTCCCCTTCAGCCAGGGTGGTTGGGCCTGTTACATGACGGTGACCCTGGCATGGACCGTAGTTAGTGGACACGGTGGCTTCTACCAGTGGGTCTGGCAGGGCTTCCCGGGTGCTTGCCTTGGTCCAGAGCTCTGGTCCTGTGCTGCCCCTTCCTCACATGGGCTCGGCCTGGGTAGCAGCTGCGCTGGGGCCAGGTGGGTAAATGTGTATCACAGTAGTGCCCTTCCCAGCTCCTGCATGGCCAGCCCTGCAAGACATTCACACTGCTGCCAACTGGTGTCCCTGCAAGCCTGTGTCCCACTGTACCCGTTCAGGTGTTTGATGGTGGTGACTGGGTCACTTCCACTTCCCTCCCAAGTGGTTTGGTGATACTGTCACCCTCTCCCACTCCCCTGCAGCAGCATGTCCTCAGCTCTTGGGAGACTGAGGTAAGGGGCTACTTGAACCTCATGGCTCCTACCAGGCCTCAGCCTTGGAGCTAGACCTCCCTTGAGGCTTCCGATGGTGGCACTGGCTCTGAGCACTCTGCTGGCACCAACATTAAGAGAAGCAGTGCTCAAGTGAAAGAACACATAGACCGGCCCATGGTCTCCCTTTCTCTCTTGGGACAGAACTTGGCTGTCAGAGCCACCTTGTGCCCCTCCACTTTGAAGTGGTTCCCAGAGGTAGAGCTACCCTGAGCTTCTGGCTGTGCTGCTTTCCTGAGCATGGGACTTCCATTGGTGGCACAGGGATTCCATGGAGGTGGCAGTATTTGCCTAAGGTGACTATTTGCCTGTACATTTCAGCACATCCCTCTAGGTACACCTATAGGGCAGATGAGGTCCAGCTCAGGACCTTGGTGTGGTGTGTCTGCCAGCACTTCTTGGCCGTGTGGCTGGCAGCTGCCTGTCCCATGTTGCCTGCCCCAGAGTCTTGGCCTGGACTAGTTGTCTGTGGGCTCTGTCTGTGACCAGGCGTCGCCAGGCAAGGGTTCTGTACCTGCAGCCAGCATGTATCATGTTGGCAAGTGGTGGAGGCTAGTGCCACTTAGGCCCTGACCTGCCAGCTTGGCTTTTAGTTCCATGTCGGCACCTGGAACATGTACGTGCTTCCTTCTGACTAGGACACCGTGACTCTGAATGGGGCTGGACTCCACCCCTGCGGCCCTATGGGTGCTACGTCCCCAGGAGGTGTTGTTCCTGGAAGCCTGGGGTCTCTCTTAGGCCATCCTGTATCTCAGTTGTCTTTCCAGTGGTCTGAGCCCCAGGCCAGCAATAGCAAGGCCAGTTTCTGGTTTTTCCTGCTGTGGGGCCTCAGCTGGGTATAGACACCTGATGCCAAGGATACTGTATGGTTTTCTGACCCTTGCCTGAGGCCACCATGCTGCAAAGGTGGGAGTGCTGCTGACTTCACTGCTCCTCACTGGCTAGTGCTCAGCCTATGCACAGAGTGGCACAGGCATATCCCATCGCATCTGGGGCCCTGGGGCCTCTGGTAGCTGCTTGTGGGTCTCCTTGGCCCTTGGGGTTCCTGAGCTAGCAAGGCCCATCTGCTCAAGGGCCAGGCATGGTCGAGGAGTGCTTACTCCCGAGCTGCGGATCCGCTGCCTCTGGGCCTTTCTGGCTGCAGCATCTTCTGGATCTGCACCTTCCCTCCCCTGGCTGTGCACAGGGGCGGGGCAAGTGGGGCTGCAGAGCTCCTGTGCTCGTCAGCATCCTTGCTGCCTGGTGTAGCCTGCAGCCGACTCCCGCCTCTGCCCACCCCCAGGAGTGAGTGCATTTATGCGTGGGGGCAGAAGGGTCCGGGAGGGCACAGTGCTGTGCAGACTCAGCCCAGAAGCTTAAAGCTGGGGACTTCTTGTCAGAGTGACAAGGCTGAGAAAGCTAAGGTCCAGGAGAGCCCCCAGGAGCAGCCAGCTCTTCTTTATCGGTCCTTACCTCACCCCCAAGTGTGTACCCACAGATATCCTTAAGAGGAGCTTAAGCCCAGTGGCGCAGTGTGTGCTGGCAAGCTCACCGTTCTGAGTGATTCCCAGCACCAAATAAAAGCAGCCCAAGGAGCCAGCTGTGCAGGGCTCAGCTCATGCTGGAGGGCCTGGCTGCCTGCTGCCTGCTGAGTGGCCTCAGTCCAATGTGCAGGGTCCACAAGGAAGCCTGATGGCTGAGTCCCCAGGGAACTCTACATGCCCCAGAGCAAGGGGTGAGGAGCAGCTTGACAGGCACCCTTGGGCACTGCACTGAGCCACTGAGCCCAAGGAGCCCCCCACGCCACCCCCAGGCAGCCTGAGGCACCCCTGCTCTTCTGTCCTGGTGAGCAGCCCCAGGGTTTCTACCCAAAGCCAGAGGCTGGCTCGCGTGTGTCCCTCTCCCTCTGCCCTTGGCCCCAGGAAGGGGGCTACAGGTTCTTAGTTTCCCTGGACCATCCTCCGATGGAAGGGCTTGCTCGGGTGGTGCCCGTGTTGGTCGGTAGGTTTTTAGGCAGCAGATAAAGAGATAGGAAAGATAAAAAGAAGCCTTTAGTAACTCCAAAGACACAGAGAGGGTGGGGGGCAGATGGGGCAGGTGGATCCTCTGGCCTGAGATTCAGAAAGCTGGGCTCTCCTCTGTTACGGGTGGAGTCTGAGGGCGGTGCTTAGAAATCTCTGAGGAGCTGATTGGGGTGTTCCCTGAGGCTCCGGTAAAGGTGAGAGGAAATTACCTCCTGGGCTGGGTTGGAAAAGGAAGGAGCTGGTCTCTGGGAAGATAAGTTGTTGTTTTAAGGGCTTCAGCAATATTAGATGGCCACCATAATACTTCAGGATTTCATAGTAGGGCCAGAACCTATCATTAGGTTTTTCCACGGTGTAGTAAAGAGATAGAAAAGATAAAAGAAGCCTTTATTAATTCTAAAGACATGGAGAGGATCGCGGGCAGATGGCGCAGATCCTCTGGCCTGAAAAGAAGAAAGTTGAAGCTTTAATAGACTTCTGCCAGGGGTGGAGTTAGAGGGGAAGTTTTAATTACATGCAAGGAGCTGATTGGGGTCTCTCCTGTGTGCACTGGAAAGGTGAGAGGAAATTGTCCCCAGGGCTGGAGAGGGGGAGGAGGAGGAAGTGGCCATTGGGAAGATAAGCTGTTGTTTTGGGGTTCAGCCATGTTGAATCAAGGCCATTGTAATTGAGCAGCTTGTACTCGGGCCAGAACCTATCAGCCCGGCCCATAGCAGGGCTGCCCACTCTGGCCCAGCTGCATGATGAGACTGAACTGTGTCCCTGCTCTGTGTGGTGCCTATTGTGAGCCACATGTCCAAGGTACATGCACCCTGTGGTCCCCCTGGAACTGCTTCCATGTCACTTTTGCTTTGACTTTATTGCCCCCTGGTGACTGAGTCAGGCACACAGCTAGAAGAGGAGAAGGAGGAGGACAGCCAGGTCCCAATGTCTGTCCACCGTGTGGACACAGCCCTCCTTAGCACCTGGGCCACTGCCTTAACACCAGGTGGCCCAGGGCAGCGTGGGGCAGGACGAGAAGCTGGGCTCCTTGTCAGCCTTCCTGTCCCCACCTACACCTGCAGCCAGTCTCTGTCCCTTTGAGGCTGGTGGGGTCCAGAGGTGCCCCACACAGGGTGGTTGGGCACCAGCTCCTTGTGGGGTCTCGAAAAGGCAGGCATGGGAGCCTCGGAGGTTGTTAGCATCCCTCTGCCCTGAAAGGTGACTGTTGTTTCCCTTTCTGTCCCTGTCACCACTGTTTGGGTGAAGTCTGCACAGTCGAGCCCATCCAACTCGAGCTCCAGTTCTGACTCCAGCTCCGACTCAGATTTTGAGCCTTCCCAGAACCACAGCCAAGGTGAGTGAGGAAGAGGCAGAGGCCTAGGCAGGCAGGGGAGTGACAGTGGGCCATGTGGGGGCTCGGTGGCAACTGGCTGGAGGTTTGTGCCTGAGCCAGGGCCTCTCACCTGGCTGTGTGTAGACCCTGGAGATGGGGTACTCGGCATCACGGGCCCCACAGACCCACTCGCATCACTCCTGGTGGCTGGGGGTCTGGTGTGGTGAAGCAGAGCAGAAACAGGTCCAGACCTCTTGCTCAGTCTGAGTAGCGATCTTTCCCTGCCGTAGTCTGGATGTTAGCACCTGGGAAAAGGCACTGGCCCCTGGGAGATGGGGCAGCTGTCGGCAGGCCTCTGCAGGGCCTCCCAAGCAAGGCCGTTGGCCTGTACTCAGCATTGCAGGCAACCGCCTGTCCTACCCACCCTGCCTCATCTTGTCTGAGGTACAGGCTCTCCACGGCCTGGGGCCCCATATCCTGCAGCCACCCAGTGAATAGTCCTCTTGCAGCAAGCTACCCCACAGGGCTTTTGTGGGGAGGGTACAACCTACCTTAGAGCAGGTGCCCTGGGACTGGGCAACCTGCAGGCACAGCACCCTCAAACTGGAAGCCGGTCTAGTGGGTTGAAGACCTGTTTCCAACCAATAGCCCCCACCCCCGGGGGAGGGAGTGCAGAGCGGTCTGGCCCAAGTCTCTTCCGTGGGCTGGGGGATGGGGTCCTGGCCGCCTACTGCTCTGCGTTCCTATCATTGGGTTAGGGAGGGGACCTACTGAAGGGGAGTCACATGACCAAGGTAATTGAGGGCTTTGTGTCCCTTTGTTGCCTTGGCAACGGGAATATAAACCAAGATGCCCGTCTGTAGGGGACTGGAACCAGGTGCCTCTGGAGAAAGGGAAGGACGGTAGGCCGGGAGCAGCGGTCAGGGTTCCTGAGGGGCTAGGCAGGCCCGAGTAGGGGTGCCAGCTGGGCGGAGGGCGTGTGGCCCTGGCTGCTGTGCCCTCTCCAGCGGGGACTGGCGTGGCCTGGGTGCTCAGGAGCCTCTGATCTCTAATCTGGCTTCGGTGATGGAAGGTCCCTGTGGTCCCCCTGAAGGCAAGGGGCCTGAGGTCTGTGAAGAGGGACAGGAAGGTAAGGGGATCAGGGGCCTTCCTCAGGGATTGGCAGGGGGAACATAGGCGCTTACCTGTGTGTCATTTGGGGTCATCACTGAGGAGAAGTTGCTGTGTGCGTGGGGGAGGCACCCCAGAAACCTATCAGGAACCCTGCTGTCCCCTTCCCCCAGGGCCCTTGCGCTCCATGGTGGAGGACCTGCAGTCTGAGGAGTCGGATGAGGACGACTCTTCCTCGGGTGAGGAGGCCACTGTCAAGGTGAACCCAGGCCGGGATTCCAGGTGACTGGGCCAGCGGGAGGGAGCAGGCACTAGTGGTAACCAGGGAGGTGTAGAGGAGGGCTGGGACTGAGGGTCCCCAGGGAGGGCCAGGCTGGCTCAGGTCCCCAGCACGAGGGGACCTGAGCCTACTGGATGTCAGGGCTTCAGGCCACCCCACCCCACCTAGACACTGCCTTGGCTAGGCTGGCTGAACCCTCCTGTCTCAGGGGCTCTGTGGCAGCTCCCTCAGTGTGGTGGGGGTGCCTGGGGGGCCCATCCCCCTTTGAGAGGGTCAGTGGTTGATCTCCTGGGCGTCTTGCACTCGGCCCCCAGACCTAGCCTGTACATCTATGCCGCAGACACCCTGGTGTGGGGAGCAGAGCTGTGTGCCCTTCGGGTTCCCTGGGTCTAGGGAGCGATCCCGGCTCTCTGGAGACTCTGGGTTTTTGGTTTCCTGAAGACCATGGCTTCAGGCCCTTAGGGCAAGTGGGAGACTCTGGGCTTGCCCAGGGTGGGGAGTGACAGCTGGATGTGGTGGGGCGCTGGGGCAAGGCCAGCTAGAGTCCCTCCCTAAGAGGCAGATGCTTCCACTCTCCAGGGCTCCTGTTAGCTGGACCCACGCTGGTCCACACCATAAGCCACGCTTGTAGCCATTCTATTACAAGTTTTAAAAAAACAACAGAAACACCATCCTGGAAGCCAGGACCTGACAGTCTTCACACAGGTTTGCTGTATGCCCAGGCTCCCCAACCCCACGCAGGCAGGGCCCTGTTTCTGCTGCAGGCAGAGTGTGTTTTGACAGGACAGTGTGGATTCTGCAGGTACTGAAAGACTGGCAGGCACTGGCCTGATAGAGGGACAGGCAGCAGTGTGAAGACCTGACCAAAGGGGCCTCTTAGTGTCCTTTCTGCAAGGGTCCCAGCTGGGAGCTCACTGGTGGCTGGCAGAGCCAGAGCTACTGCTGTCCCTGCAGTAAGGGGAGGAGCCTCGTAGGATGTGGGGTCACAGCAGGTGCTGGCTAGGCCCACCTGTTGGACATGGCTAGAGGCAGCATGAGGAGCAAGCCTGTAGGCTTTTGTGTTGCCCTGGCAACCAGAATCTGACCTTGAGCTGGGCCCTGGATGAGCCGGGTGCTCACTAGGAAGGCTTGAATGAAGGGCACAAGCCCACCTGCAAAGGAAGCAGGACAGGAGCTGAGAGGAAGCCGTGCTGCCTGGCCCCTGCCTGCAGAGGGTCCCCCCACGTGTACTGCACTTCCTTTAGCAGAAGATGAGGATGACAGCCCCCCTGCCCAGGCAGAGAGAAGAAAATGTATTAAACACGTTGTCAGGCAGCAGTTAGGGCCTCTATTAGATCAAGCTCAAAGCGGCTCTGATGAAATAAGAACCGATGCAGACTGCCTAGCCGTTGTGCAGGGCCCATGGGGAAGGGGGTACGGCAGGGCCAGGGTACAGCTCAGTTGTGAGCACCTGCCTGGGTAAAGGCAGGGTCAGGTGCCCGGGGTGCCCTGGGCAATGTGTGTCACTCAGACAGGAAGGGGCACAGGATTTGCTAGTGACGCATACTGCCCTGCCCTGGGCTGTAGTGAGCAGAGTGATGGCGAATCACTGGAGACTGGAGCTCAGCCCGTGCCTTGCGCAGCTACCCCACCCCCACCCCCGCCCAGGTGTGCTCGCGGTGCTCCCAAGGCACGGCCTGATGTAGCTTCCTGTGGTGTCTAGGTTGAGCTTCAGCGACAGCGAGAGCGACAACAGTGCCGACTCCTGCCTGCCTGGCCGTGAGCCCCCACCTCCCCAGAAGCCACCCCCACCCAACAGCAAGGTGAGGGGATGAGGCTGTGGTCGGCAGGGCCGGGGGTGGGGGGTTGGCAGGGCTTGGGGAGGCCGGCAAGACTCAGCAGATGCCTGGGTCTCCTACAGGCATCAGGCCGGAGGAGCCCTGAGCCTTGCAGCAAGCCTGAGAAGATCCTCAAGAAGGGTGCCTACGACAAGGTGACTTGGCTACCAGGGAACTGGTAGGTGGGGTGGGGCGGGGCTGCCCCAGCCGGGGCTGCTGGGCTGAGGCTCTCCTGCCCCTCCCAGGCCTACACTGACGAGCTGGTGGAGCTGCACCGGAGGCTGATGGCGCTGAGGGAGCGCAACGTGCTGCAGCAGGTAGGCCCGCGAAGCCCCTCCCCGCCCCCCCCGTGGTCCCCAGCCCCTGAGGCCCCGCCCCCTCTTGCAGATCGTGAACCTGATCGAGGAGACTGGCCACTTCAACGTCACCAACACCACCTTCGACTTCGATCTCTTCTCCCTGGATGAGAGCACCGTGCGCAAGCTGCAGAGCTACCTGGAGGCTGTGGCCACATGACCCTGGGTGGGAGCTGGGCCCCGCCACTCACGGGGGTCCGGGGAGGCCGCGCAGGCCCCACCCACCTCCCTTCTCTCCACGCACCGCCTACAGCACTGCCTTAGTGACTGCCCTGCCCGGCCCTCACAGCCAGCTGCACTTTCCTGGGTGGCTCCCGAGTGCCCTGGGCCATCCGGTGGGCACTTAGGCACAGTCACTGGGGCACAGTCACCCAGGCTCTCCTTGGAGGGTGGTTTGTGCAGAAGGCAGAGCTGGGCCTGGTTCCCAGAAGAGGAAGAAGCTTATGCAGAAGGAGTGTGGCTCGAGGCCCCTTGCTCGGCCTCAGAACTGTGGGCCTCTCTGAGAAGCCGGCTGTCCTGTGTGCAGCCCCCCAAAATGGTTCAGAAGCTGCCTGGGCCGCCGGACCCTCGGAGGCTCTGGTCCGCGGCCGGCCAGGCTGGCCCATGTGTACAGCCGTCTGTGTATTATATACCTGTGCGCTGCGTGTGTTCAGGAGCGGGTCCGTGTACGTTTCTGTGCCGAGCTGCACGTTGGGGGTGGGGGGAGTGTGGGGGGGACTTGTAGGTTAAGATGTCTATGGGGGTCTTGTCTTGGGCTGGTCCTCTCCAGGGCGCGAAGGGAGCCACCCTCTGGTTCCAAGGATGCCAGGGCTCTCAGGCCAGTGAACACTACAGCTACGACAGGGTGACCTGTCCTCAGGGCCCCCAGGGACACACGTGTTAATGCCCCTGGGGCTCCTCCTCTGTAGGACCCTCTTCCTCCACAGTCATCGATCAAGTCTTCGAACTTTGAACAAATGAGCTTTTGCCAAATAAGACAGGATGGCTTATGTTGGGGGCACGTGGGGACCGCCTCCTCTCTGGCCTCAGCCTCTGCTTCTGCCAGGCCCAGCCTGGGACATTCTCCTGTCCGTCTGAGGTTCTCCAGGGCCACGCCCCCACCTCGCTGGGCCAGCAGCCCTGGCGCACACAGTGTGCCCGCCCCAGTTTTCCTGGATCGGCCTTGTGCCTCCAGACCCCATCCTGACTTCAGTCATTGCCAGTGTTGGTGCCCTGATCTAGGTGTGGCTGGGGGAGCAGGGCCAGGGTGGCCTGTGCCTCCACCCTGTCGTTAGTGTCCCTCTTCCCCGTTATAAGCTCGGACCCAGGCGGCCCTGGCTTTTCTTCCCTGAGGCCCCTGGCCTCACTCTTAAGTCCACCGGAACAGTCCCCGGAGGACCCCTGCCTACAAGGCATTGCCCACACCAGCATTGCTGGGGGCCCCCCAGATACTTGGGGGGAGGCCCGACAACTCCGCAGGGAACCACTGCAACCCTTCAGGCCACAGTGGCTCCCGCCACACTGCCCTCAGCCCCGCTGCCATGGCCCCTTTCTAGGCAGGCCAGCAATACTCACGGTGGGGCCTCACCCCCAGGAACTCTCCAAGACGCGGGGCGGAAGCCTCAGATCCAGGCAGCAGCCTTCCTCCTGCCTGAGGGGCCCAGAGCACCACGGTGACCCAGGCTGGGCACTTTGCCACCTGGATGGGGCATCTGGCCCTTCCCACAGTTTCCAGGACCTTCAGAAGCGCCGGCCCGCCTCTTAGTTACCTCCTCTGGCCAAAAGGCCTCATCGCTGTCCTCCAGAGCTGCCCTGGCACGGGGCCCCACCACCACTGAAGGAAGGATGTGCTGGGGCCCTGACTGCAGCCTTCCCAGCTGTCCCCTCCCCGCTGGCAGTCGTGGACAGCTGGGCCCGCAAGGAGGGCTCTGGGGACAGGTCCATAGGAAGGGGCCGGCGCCTTGTGATTGCCACATGTCTTGTGTTAAGCCGCCTGCCCCCAAGTGCAAACCCCGTGTTTCCTCCCCTGAATGAATTGTAAACCAACGCCAGAACCCAGAAGGTATCGAATACCTTCCTTCCCCACAAGGGTTTTAACCAAGAGTGTGTCTCGCTGGGAACTGAACAGTGCACCTGGCCGAGACCAGCTCTTGGGTCAAGGGAAAAGGAGAAGTGTGTGTGTAATGAATTACAGGATTGTTTCTGTCCTGGATTTTAAACTTTTTGTTAAATTGTGAAATTATGGAGGAGTTTTATAGAAAAAAAGTGAAATAAAGTCAGATGGGAACGCAGACCTCTGTGCCTGTGTGGTGTCCCTTGCCCTGGGGGCTGCGCAGGGTCCCAGCTGTGTCCTCAGGGCTCCAGGTCGGGGACAGGAGGGGCAGGAGACGAGCTGAGGCTGGTGGGCAGCGGGAGCAGGGATGGCGTGTGACTGAGGTTGGTGTCCTGGAGGAGGCGCAGCACCACCGGAGGCCCTGAGCAGGCTCGGGCGTGCAACACAAACTTGGCTTCACTGAGTGAACGAGTGGACAGGTGCAGAAGTGAATGTAGGGACAGTGGTGGGGTGGATGGGTGGATAGACGGGTGATAGACCTCCCCTGACAAGAGCCCAGGTGCCTACCTGCCCCTTCACGTGTATTTTTGTTGTGGCCCTGGTGTGACGGAGCTGAGGGGCCCTGGCACAGCTCTTGCTGGCTCTCTTGAGCCAGCTCTGTGTACTCCAGGCTCCAGCTCCACCAGAGACAGGGATGCCGCTTGTGGGTGGCCCACATTGCCAGCCTATACCCTCTGGCCACCTGGAGTGCAGGGCCAGCTGCCCGTAGAGACCACTTGTCTCAGCAGGTGGCACTGGGGGACTTCACAGGCAGGCACAGCCTCGCATCAGGTCCCTCGGGAGCCATTGTCCCTTCTAGAGTCCCCTTCCCACGCAGGGCTGTGGCTGCAGAGAAAGCTGCAGGCATTGGGTTTGCACCTTATGGGAGGGTGGCGGAGTCAGCCAGGGGCTGGTAGGGGCCTGCCCACACCCTGAGCCCTCAGATGGCCGCAGAAAGACCGTCCATGTGAGATCATAGTAGACACTGCGCCGGGTCGGGCCGTGTGCTCAGCCGCTCGAGGTAGATGCCGCACCAGAATCCCCATTGATTGGGTTGCAGTTTTTTCAGACAGAATCCCTCTGTGTAGCCCAGGCTGGCCTGGAATGAGCGCCAGTCCTTCTGCCTCAGCCTGTCAAGTGCTGGCGCCACAGTTGTGCACCAGATTCCTGACTCGAGAATGCCCATTTATGAGTGGAGAAATGGCCTCAGAGAGTACACCTGCCCCAGGTGACGCTGCATACTCTGCCACCAAGGTCAGCTGTGTGTGGCACTGATGCTCTTGGCCTCAGGTGTCCATCAGCCAGTCATTCCTGACCACAGGTGACCTCTAGTAGAGCTTTGTACGCAAAGAGATGCAGGCTCATCCTCAGTGTTTGTTGCAATCCACTGGTGAGTTTTGAAAGAGTTGATTTGAATTCTTATGTGTTAGTACAGTACTTTATGTTTCCTGTGAGCTTGGGTAACCTAGAGAAGCTGGATTAGCCTGTTTTCTGTTGCTATCACAAAATACCTAAGACAAGATAATTTATAGAGGAGAGAGGTTTTATTAGCAGATGATTCTGGAAGCCAGAAGTCTGAGGTCAGGTGCCAACAGCATCTGCTTGGCTTTTGCTGAGGGCCTCAGGCTCCTCCATACATGGCAGAAAAGCAAAACAAGAGAAAAGGAGACAACTCCCATGACAGCTAACTTATTCCTGCAGAGGAAGGAAGGGAGAGGGAGGGGAGGGATGCAGGAGGGAGGAAGGGAGGGAGGGAAAGAAGGAAGGGTTTGTAGGGTCCTATGAGATGGCACACACCTCCCCGCTCTATCTCCTCAGCCATGTCCAGCCTCCCACAGTGCTCACCAACTTCTTTTTTTGTGGTACTAGAAATTGAACCCCAGGGCCTTTGCCCTGAGCTCATCCCCAGTCCTCTATTTTTCATTTCGAGACAGAGTCTCAGTCACTAAGTTGCCCTCCTGGGGTTCAAACTTGCCACCCTCCTGCCTCAGCTTCCCAGAGTGCTGGGGTGTCGGCCACGCACGTCCACACCCCAAGTCATTCTAGAACCTCTGCTGTTTCTGAGCCTGGTTTTTATGACTGTCCTTTCTCTTGATGTGACCCATTGGCTAAGTGAACAGGATCATATGCTGCAGGACATCAGGCCCTTAGAGGGCCCACGTCTCTGGCTCGAAGCTGGGCTGTAGCTGCTGTATTGTCAGAAGCTGAAATCTTTTCTAGTGGCCTTGCTTGTCTCCCCTGTTGCCTTTGGCTTCCCTGTAGATTCCTATTAAAATAGACCCTCAAACAGGCCTGGTGGTACTCAGGGAGACTGAGGCAGGAGAATCTCAAGTTCCAGCCCAGCCTGGGCAACTTAGTAACTTGGTGAGACTTTGTCTCAGACACTGAAAAAGGACTAGGGATGTGATTCAGTGCAAAGGCCCTGGGCTCAGCCCTCGGCACTGTAGGAAATGAATGAATGAACTGGCTCCACCTACCCATCAGCCCCTGGTCATGACACAGGAGCCCTGTCAAAGTGACAGTAAAGTGTGGTGGGAGGGAGCGCTCTGTGGGCTTTGTTTCCTATTGCTCTCATATCACACAACAGCTGAGGTCAGGTACCTTTGAAAGAAAAGAGGTTTATTTAGCCCACCATTTGGGAAGCCGGGGATCTGTGTTTGGGAGGCCCCAGCCATTCCGTTTGGCCTGTGGTGAGGGTGACAATGGCTACACCATGGTGGGACTGCATACAGAAGTCATGCAGTAGGGGCTGGGAATTTGGCTCAGCGGTAGAATGCTTGCCTAGCAAGCTGGAAGCCCTGGGTTCAGTCCTCAGCACCAAAACAAAAAAAAAAAAAAAAAAAAAAGAAGAAGAACAGAAGTCATGCAGTGAAGAGCTCTGGACCAGGCCTGCTCTCTCATACTCACCCCCATCCTGAGAGGGTGGAGGCCCCAGCAGCCCGGTGGCCTCTCTGAGGTTCTGCTACCCTCAGCACCTGAGGACCAGCTCCCCACAGGGAACCGAGGCACAGGTGCACAGACTGCCTAGCACGCGTCACACCGGAGGTGCCCTCAGGCCCGGAGCCCACAGCCCCACCACCTTCTCCAGGCCCTCCTCTGCACAGTGCTGCATGGGACGAGGCCTGTGTAGGTGACACCTTAGGGACCATTCCTGGGAAGTCGGAGGCTGGGGCTTGGGTATCCCCTCTCCCAAGCATGGCACAGGGTCAGATTGTAGAAGGTCATGCGCACCCCACCCGCAGAGGCTCTGGGGCTCAGTCCACAGGGTAGTTGTAGAAGAAATGATACCGTCTTCACAGGGCCCCGGTGTGCACTCCGGTGCACAGACGCTGGTTGTAGAGAGCAGGACCCTCCCTTGTGCTTCCTGTCTACTGTGAGAGTTCTCTGTCACGCATGTTCTCGTCATGGGGCCACCCATTGCATGTCACAGCCTCTCCAGCACCAGCACCATACTCTGAGGATGTCAGCTGAATAAGCCTCTCCTCCCCCTCCCTCCTTATCTCTCTGTCTCTGTCTGTCTGTCTCTGTCTCTGTCTCTCTCTCTCTCTCAATGGGGATTGAACCTCACAAGCCCTGAGGTATTCAGGACTATTGAGACAGGATCATGCTAAGTTGCCCAGGCTGGCCTCAAACTAGGGGATCCTCCTGCCTCAGCCTCCTGAATAGCAGGGATCACAAACATGCTGTACCGTGCCTGGCTAAGAGTTCATAACTGTGACTCTTCCTTGTGGTGGGGGCTGAACAGGGTTTAATAGGTACCATCTGAACCCTGAATCTCCTCAGTGACTGATGAACACAGCCCATGAAACCTCTGAACCCAGTTCCCCACTCCCAGGGGCTGATCTCAGTCCTTCCTCTTCCTCCGTGCCCCAGGGACAGCGCCAAACTAAGGGACGCGCCTGTGCCACCCAAGCAGGCTGCCAGGCCCACTCCTTGTCCCATGAACATCTGTGTGTATTTCTCCAGATTAAAAGAGAAACAGAGCTTTGGTGTGGGGAGCCCTCGAGGCACGGCCAAGGCCAGGTCATTTTCATTCAGGGTCCCATGCTCAGTGCTGTGGGCGCCAGGCTGGCAGTCTCTGGGGGGCACCCTGGGCATCACAAGGTGCTGGGCAGCACCCCTGGTTTCCTCATTTCTGTGCCAGCAGCACCTGCAGCCCTGCCAGCCATAGCTGTTCCCAACCTCCCACAGGGTCCCTGAGAGCAGGACAGCTCCTGGGCTGAGGAGCCCACTTCAGTGAACTGATTTTATTATTCTTTCTAACTTGAAGGCAAAGCCAGGAGAGGAGCTTGTTCCTTCCTTCCAAGGACATCCTCACCCTTGATGTCATGTGGTGGGAAGAGAAGGCCGAACTGGGCCTGGTAAGAGCTCTGTATGGGGGTGGAGCTGCTGGGGCTTTTCCTGGCCACTAAAGACTCCTCTAGTGCTTGTACAAGTTCTGGATTTCGGCTTGGTACATCCTGATCACAGTCGCCCTCTTCAGTCTCGACGTGATTCCTGGGTGTGACAAGGATCCCGAATGGGCCACAGAGGAGCGTGGAGCCCCAGGTACTCAGAGGGCAATGGAGTGGCTAAGGGATTTGCCCCGGAACCAGAGGAAAGGATCTGGGGCCATAGACCATGCCAAAGCACCCCAGTAATTCCACTCTCCGCAGCCACCACTGCAGAGCGCAGCAGCCCTTCACTAAAAGACAGCGGAAAGAGCGCTGGTGCTGGGTGTGGTGGCGCATGCCTGTAACCACCCCCCATCAGGAGGCTAAGGCAGGAATTCAAGACCAGCCTGAGCTACAAAGTGAGCTCAAGACCAGCCTGAGCTCCATTGTGAGTGAGACGCTGTCTCAAAAAGACAAATAAATAAATAAATCAAAATAAAGTAAATCAAAATCAACAACAAAAAAAGCACAGGTCACAGGCATGGGGCCCCACCTTGGAGGCTGGGTTCTCCCAAGCTTTGACACTACCATTATAGGGACCGAATACCCCTAAAAGCCAGCATGGGGTCTAGGGTGCGGTGGCCTCTGCGACCTGAGTGCAGTGGGGCCGCCTGTGTCTCGGTGAGCGACCCTGAGCCGCAGCAGCTGACCGACCAGGCCCCCCACTGCTCACCGAGCTCCCCGCCGCCCACCGAGAAGTCCGTTTCCAGCACAGCCCACTTGACGATCCTGGCGCTGTCAGAGGGCGCCTCAGCGTTCACGGCCTCCATGCCTTTGCTGATGAACTCGGCGATGACCGGGTCGTCGTTGTAAACAATGTCCGCCAGCCTGGTGGCCCGGCTCCCCAGGCCCCGGCACACTGCCACCGTCTCACTGGTCAGCGCAGTGCGGGGCTCCCCGGTCTCCCAGTTCACCTGGCACTGTGGAGGGCTCGCGTCAGGGGGCCCCGGAGCCCGCAGCCTCCTCGCAGTCACCTTCGTCTGCAAGCCTGTTTCCTCCTCGCCAACCAGGACTGCGGCTCCCGCCCCACCCCCGAGGGCCCCACGGCCCTGGCTCCCGAGCAGCCCAAGCACCTTGAGTGTGAGGAGGGCACACAGGTAGGGGGCGTCCTGGCCCACCACCACCGCGTAGTGGACGATGGGGATGTACGCCTTCACCCGCTCCTCAATGGGGCTTGGGTTGACCGTCTTCCCTGAACTCAGCGTGATGATGTCTGCACGCAGGAAAGAGGGTGCCATCTCTGAGATGCCC